TTACTTAACCTTTTTTGGATTTTTCCAGTTGGTACACCTGCTTTGTGAAGCTTAAGGCTTTCCTGTCCTCCTCAACCATTCGTGCACTGAGCTTGTACATCGAGCAGTGCTCTCTGAAAAGTAAGTCAGACGGGCCTGTAAAGAAGAGGGCTGCAGTGATAAGTTGTTAATTAATAACCTTGTTTCATGAACAGTTCAGAATGTTCCAAATCTTTTTTTTTTCTAGTGAAAGCACTGCTTCATTCAATGGCTTCTATCCCTTTGTAAGCATATCTCTAAGTGGGAAAAAAAGTTAAAGCGTGCTCTAATTTAATGGTTAGTTTCACAGGCGTGAGACATTTAACACTGTGGATTTTTGCTTACATTGCAGTCAGTAATGGCCAAACTAATGGCCTATATGGAATTTAATGAGCTATTTTAATGACATAAATGATGGTTAAAAATAGTTAGCTCTGCTGAGCAGAAAAAAAGAACTAGATTGATGTAACTGCCAAGATGTGAAACCTTAAGAGTTATACAGTGTGAGTGATTTGGTAACTTTTATCCGTATATTAATAAGAAACTTGTTTAATGATGGACTGTAGGAAAAGGTTTTGCTTGGCAGTAATGGGGAAAATATTTGGTAACCTAGGAAACTGTTCTGCAACATATAGCAGTTCTTTAATGAGCAGACTTATAGCCCCTGCATTAACGTTTACCATTATAATTGTACAGTATTTAGCATGAATTATGATTCCTATGTCATGGAAGATAAACTTGTATCTTATGACACATGCTTGATTTTGATTTTGACATAAGCAGATGTGCAGAAAAGAATCTCTGTGACAGTAACTGCGTGCTGCACTTAATCTATAATGGAAAATGGTCAACAGTGAAATAAATACCAGTCAGTGAGTCCTAATGAAGAACATGATTGTGAAGAAAATTTTGCATTGAAGCAAAAGCATGGAAAAAAGATAGATCTGTGGTAATGTTGTGCCACAATTGCCTTCTTTTTCAATCGGACGTTTACAGTGTGCAAGATTGCAGCTTTAGAATAAGCATAATTTAATTATCTTAGTCTCTATAGTCCACTGTTGTGACATAAATATTTTATTTTAATTAAACTTTGAGGTCACTTATTGGAGGCTTGTTCTGATGATCCTCACTATCCAGAGGTGAATTAGCTGTAATGGTGACTGAGCCCTTCCTGATGGTCATATAAACTGTATCAAATCTAAGATCTCTCTAAGGGGTCAGTGTACTGCAGGGTCCCTAAGGGCCTGTTGAGCCTGTTTTATGTTTAATTGTGCCTTTGGGAATTGGTTTATCTGCTGGCACCAGTGGGTCAAACCTGCCACCTTCCACTACCTTTTTTTACCCAGGAGAATCAAGTTGACTTTAAGTATGCTATTGATCTTTCACTGTTGGAATTTCTTCCTTGCACTTTGTTGAAATTTCCCCAGTTTGCGTCACAGAAACATTTGGCATGCATTTATTGGTTATAAAATGGACCCTAGGATGTAATAGTTGCTTGCTGTGAAATTGGTAGAATATTTGTGTTGAGATTCTGTTTGCTGTGGGGAAATATCCTGCTTGTACTGCATGTAATAAAACATGAATTGAACACTGACTAAAATGAAGTTTCCTGTGGGCTCACTGCAGAGTAGGTCATAATGATGCGTTCGGTATTGCACTGAAGATTGCTCTAGAATTATACGTATTCATCATGTGGAATTTCACTTAGGGACTGTACATATAGGAAAGCTAAATGTGACTCCAAAAACAGCATGGTTGTAGGATTTTATTGTATGATATTAATCATCTCAGACCGCAGTACTTTACTGCAAGCAGTAAATCTCTAACTGTGGGTCAGGTAGGGATGTCCAGTGTGCAAACACAAGTCATATTTGGCTCAGCTGTAAGCTTGACTGAGTGTAAAAGTAATGTCAGGTACTCGTATAAGGTGTTATAAGAATTCTGACTTCTTAAGGCAGATTCTTTGATGCAAAACCTCTTTATGGATTTGCTGTAGGATTTTTATTTACTGTGATACACTGTCAGCTACCTGAGCAATGAACCTTTTCTTTCTGTCAAGTAGAGAAATACAAATCTCTAGGGTCTAAAACCTTCCTGCATTAAAAAGCAAACTGTGTTTTAGTCACTTTGTCCACTTACACTGGCGTTAGGTACTTGAGCACAAAGCATAAAATCAGTTGTTACAATGTGAGATTTTATTGTTAATAGGTTTATGTTTTCTGGCTCTCAAGAAGCCTTTTGCAGAATTTGTTGCGTTTAGATTGAGTGGCATTGTTTAAGAACCACAGAGGTGCATTTAAAGATGATTATTAGAACTTGTTTGTAGAACTGAGATAGATCTTTGGAGATTAAAAACAGGACAGCAAATGTTTTCTTGGAAATGGTTATTACAGGGTCTCCAGTTTGGAAAATTCACTACAGAGCTCTGTCGCACTAGTGAAGTTTTAGTTCACTCCGGATACCATCAGTGTCATGTTACTTGATTGTAGCAGCAAACATGCTGTGTATCTTATAACACATGATAAAAGCACAACAAATCTACTCATTATCCGATAACACGATGTCCAAGATAAAATCCCTGCATGTTTAGTTACGGTGCAAGAAAACTTAAACACAACAGGAAATCCTGGCTTACTGATTTCTGATTTCCATCTTTGCACCTTCCTACATGTGCTTCAGTTTTTGTTTTGCAGTAGATGTGTTCCTGCTACAGTATATCCAGTATAACGTACTGGTTCCCACAATTAAGTGTTTTAGCAAGAGAACTATAGTCTTGGAACGATTATAGCATGAAAGGGAAGGAGGAGTGGGGTGAACTTACATTGCCCAGTGCATCTTAAATGCTCATCAAGTTGTCAAAGTACTGCATTTGGGGCATTGCATGAGAGAAGAGCTTCTCAGAAAAACCACAAGTTTACATCTCACAGGGAGTGTAACGCTAGCCACTCTGACTCTGACTCTTTTGTGGCACCTCTTACACGCTGGTTTATGCCAGCGATTGCTCCTTTGAGTTTGTAGTTCAGTCCACTTTTGAATTGAAGATTTCAGACCTCCGTCAATACGGTTCAGTGCCCCAGTATAAGGTGAGAGGAGGTGGCCCTTCCTCCGCTGACGGGGCCAGAGCTCTTTCCTCTTTTTCTTGTGTAGGCTGACTGAAGCAGCGCAGTGGGGGAAGTGGCTGACCTTGCCCCCTGGTCTTGTGTGGTGGGAGTGCCGGGGTTGGTACTTGGTCCTTTCAGTAAAAAAGCCCACTGTACGGAGCCCTCAAAGCCCTGGTACTCCATTGGAAAAGCTCCCGCTACAGCGTAGAGTCGAGGTGAATCCTGTCACGCAGTAGCCTTCAATAGTGGGGACGTCTGATTTCTAACGTGGTTATCATTATGTATTTCCTTCTCCGAGACCTTAGCATGCATCATGGTCTTCTATAGACCTAATGTGGGTTTGTCACTTTGTTTCCTTCTGTGAGAGCTAGGCACAATATACTAAACCAGCATATGTAATAAAGTTCTTTTTAGAACGTAAAATTGGATTTTATTATTTGCATTTTAGACACTTTTTTTCCCCCATTTCTGTAATGAACTCTAGTACGTTTTGGAGGCTGCATGTATTTTTCTTCTTCAGATTATATGCACCAGCCTCTGGGAGTGGAAGTCCTGATGGCAGTTTATTAATCCACAGAAGCGGAGTAAATTCAGCTAATCCCCGAAGGAATTGGGTTTTCACATTCAGCTGAGATGTGCCGTTGAAGTGTACACTGTTCTGCAACTGCACGTTCTGCCAATTAGGCAGAGACAGGACAGGCGTGACTGCGAGCAGCTGTGGGTACTTCACTGAATCAGCCCTGCGTTTAATGGACTGGCTGGAGCTGAAAATTAAGTCAGGAGAAAGGAGGAAGCTTGGGAAGATTACCTATGTGCTCAGGGGTGACGTGCTTTCTTGTGCCAGTGTTGTATAGGTCAGTTGAAACTGGCAGAGCTTCAGTTTCTTGTGCTGTGCACCTTAGGAATAGCTTAGATGCCACATACTGTACATCAGAGTTGCCCTCACACTGTTTGGCACAAGTAACAGACCTGATAAATCTAGCTGCCAGTGCTTCTAAAAGGTATGTCATGTGATATGTGGTGATTGGGTTGCTCTCAAATGATTTGTTTCCGATCCATGTACATTGTATGCAATGTACAGGAAGTTGTGTGTGTTACTTCATCTTATGCTTTCCAATTTACTTACTGTAATACGCTGAAGACGTGAATGCTTTTAGTTAACTAGGAAAATGTCAGCAGAGCTGGTGAACCAGTAGGTGGCTCTTTTACCTCTGGAACAGAATTTTATGCCGTAGTGTGGTGACTGTGGATACTGTGTAGTGCAAGGGGCCATCCTTCTGATCTGACATTTAATCAAGGTGCAGACTACACAGTCATTAAAGATCTCATGGCACTGTTCATATGAGTAGGGGGTTTAAATAGGCTATATTCCACTATTGACTTTTGTGCTCTTGTCTACCTAAGGTTCCCTTTTACTTTAAAGAGTGAAGTAGTTTCCCATCTCTCCATCAGATGTGTGTGGTGGGGTTGCAGGCAAATCACTGCTGCTGTGTCCTCCCCTATAGGTGGATGTCACGTTCCAGCTGTGGTGAAATTGTCTCTTCCTATATGCAAAACACTTAGCAATCCTTAGGAATGAAAAGTGATAGCCTATATAAATGCAAGGAAATGTAGGAAACTGTACTCACTATTCTGGAAGATTATTATCCCATCTCCTAGTTCAGATACACTTTAACAGTTCACGACATTCTTCATTTTTCAGTTGTGTGCTGTATTGAAAGGACTTTAATGAAACTCTCCTGTCTAGTCTACAAAGGCCTTGATGAAATAGGGATTAATCCTGTTTTGTCAATGCAGAAAACATCAAAGTATAACATTCAGCTGGGTAGAAATGTGATGCGCAACCCTTGGTTTACCATCTTTTATTCTGCTATTTTGCAGGAGGCTGTTGGAGTCCTCTCTTATCTCCCTTTCTCGATATGACATATCAGGGTCTCGAGATCATCCCATTTACCCAGATCCCGCCAGGTAGGTGTTAATTCTGTTCAGGTGGCTGTGTTTCGGGGGCAATGTTAGATAGGGTTTAGGGCTCCGAATCCGTAACTGCAATGTTATGGATTCAAGTTCCCATTGCAGACACTGCTCTTGTACCTTGAGCAAAGTACTCCACACCAGTTACTCCAGTCCCCCCAGCTGTGTAAATGGGTACCAGCATTGCTCAGGGGAGGCCCTGGGATGGATTAACATCCCATCTATAAAGAGGGGTTTAATGCAGCAGCCCGGTGAGCGTTAAGGCTATATCTGTTCAGGAATTTTATAATAAGATGGTTTTACAGTTCACAGAGGATGCTAAGGGCACAAAGAACAGAAGAACTTCCTATGTACGTATGGGCTTTCACCAGCTCTCTAATGATGAAAGGATGATTAAATCAACAGAGTTATTGAATTGTTTAACTTTCAACATTCGGCACAGAGAAACAGGATTCTGGGACATAGACGTGAATAAAAACACAAAAAGGTAGACTAATTCCTGCGCTTAAATGATTCTTCATTGATAGCTAGAAAGTTTATTCATGTTCATTCTATTTGTCCGTGTGCCAAACATTCCATCATATGTGTGTGTTCCCGTTATATGTTTTTAAAACAGTAGATATATATTACTCCTTGATGGATATTATACTGTTTATCAAATGCTGGTTTATACATGCAAAGGTGAGACACACAATTCTTCCTTTTCCTCGATAAACACAATTCTGTTTTGGGGTGTTCATAAGGACATAAGCTACAAACGGGAGGAGGTCATTGGGCTTGTCTAGCGCCATGGCTTCCACACCGCGTGGCTGGGTTCTGTTTTCCCCCCATGTCACGCTTGGCCCCCCCGTCTCGGCGCAAATCAAATTGGATTTCATTGGCATTGTTAAACCACAACCGCCGATGTCGACGTATTCATCAACCAGCACTTCAGAACCCCTGCGATGCATTTTCCAGCCACACTTCCGGGTGTCAGGTCTGCAGGACCTTTCATCAGATCAGCACATTTTGGCCTGAATTGTATTGATTTTGTGCTCAGTGCTTACAGCTTGTTTCTACAAAGCCCTGACTAAAGGCAATTTGATCCCATTTAATTTTCTCCTGTTTCATTCATCTATCATATCTTCAAGTGGCTTTTGACAGCGTTGTCAGAATCCATGCATCTATTTTTAATTGTTCTTGGAAATGTACCTGTAGGCAAATGAATAAATGAAAAACTGAGGAAAGAAATAGGCTATTCTTTACTTTGTAAAGAGGTTTGTTTTATTTCGTCTGCTATTTTCAGAGTAACGTTATTTATTACGACACTGACTGATGTGTATTTCAGTTTAGAAATATTACTGATGCAGCAACACAGTTTTAGCTAGGTTCTAGGAAATCTAGTCATTTTGCAGTCATTGCATTATTTTTGCATTAGTGTTGATCTAAAATACAAGCCAAGATTGCAAGACTTGGATACAGGTATTTAATATGGCCTCTTCTGAATATCAGAAATATTCTTGACTCTAGAAATTGCATATTTTCTTTTATTGTAATATCCATTCAAAAAAAAAACATTCCTCTAAATGACCATTACTTTTTCAATTGTATTAGCTAAACGTTTTCTTAGACATGACAGGGCCAAGTGTCATTCAGTAGACCTCATGTGCATTCCAGACTTCAGCCTTCACATCAGTTCTTGTCTTCTGAGTTTAAAAGAGCACCTGAATTTCTGATGTCTGGTGTTTAGTAGAATTTATCGAGATTTTATCAGAATGTTTGGGATGGAGCTTATGCCTACTGCACAGTAAGAGAAGGGCAATTATAGGCCGCCGTTCTGTTAAACCTTTAAGAGACGTAATTGAATTTGGCGCAGTGCTTTCTCTGCTCTCTTAGTCAGCTGCTTTACTTCCAGTCTTTGATTCTTTGCGTTTCGCAGAGCTTGTTGACTATTTCGTATGTTGAGAGGCTTGAATGACGGCCTACGAATGGAACATTGTAGAGAGCTGACTGAAATGCTCTACCCTCCTCCAAACCATTCTGGCTCTCCCTGTAATATTGGGGCAGGCTTTTGTATTACTGAAGGTGAAGCACCTCCAGTGTTTCAGATGTATATTTCATTGGTAATTGTGTAATGTTTAGATATTAGCAAATTGTCATCGAATTTTGCTTTGAATTTTTATTCTCCGCATTAAAATTATCCCCAAATCCGAAAGCTACATCACAAGAAAGGAAATGAAAATAATGATAAATATGTTCTTCAATTCTGTTTTTCATGTTCTTATTTGTGGGTTTGTCACTACATCCCACTGTTTGGATGAGGACAGTGCTGGAGGGTACTGATTGGGCTTTAACCTTCACCTCGGACGCACAGAGCTATAAAGCTCTACAAAACTTTTCCTTCCATGTTTTTGTGTTTTAGTAATTTAATGCAGTCCGAGCAGGTAGAGGGTTTTAAAGCGATCTTTAAATGAAATCGGATGTGTAATTTTAACGCTGGCCTTGGCAACAACCAGAATCAGACCAGTTGCTCCAAAACTATGAAGGGTGGCAGAGAAGGCAACCAGCTGGCCAGCAAACGCCTGTTCAAAGCCCTGTCTTAGATTGTCCCAGGGCCTGCAGAGCAACACAGTCACACAAAGCAGAGCTGCTTTCTTGATCAGAGCACATCTGGTTTCTAAGTATGAGTTCTGAGTTCCGTTCTCTCTGAACCAACAATTTGTCATACACATATCTGGTTTATATGCAAGAAATTGTTAAAACATATCTAGGCCTTTAACAGGAAGTAACTTACTTGGCACCATCTTCCTTGACCTGTAAAAAACAATCTTGTTTTTCTTATTTTCAAACATAAAGCCAATGATTGAATGCTTCCTGTCTTTGCCAGCTGACGGATGTGACAATGCAATGGTAATTAATGGTCTTTGCTTCATTGCAAGAATGATGCAGGCCTTTTAATCCTTCAGACACCTTTGTCTTATGCAGCTCTATTTGTTTGTACAGTAGCTGACTTTCAAATTCATTTTAATTCCTCCATAAAACCTCTATTTGGATTATCATTCCATCATTCTTAAATATTTTTTTCCATTTCCAAGCTTTGAGATAAGCAGTTAATTGTATTTTACTTTTTTTGTACTATGTTTGCAAAGAATAGCTTTGTGTATATGTAAAGGTGTCTGCTGTCCTTCTCAGAGTCTCCATCAGTTGAATTATCTGTCTTTTCTTCAGGAATGTGACCTTGCACAGTACTTGTGTCTCAGCTGTCCAGTGTTATTTTAGAGGGCCATTGTCAGGGGACTAACCTTTTGAATGAGATGCTTCTGATGGTGGCTGTGGAAATGTTTATTGTTTTGTTCATATGTGTTGTTTTCGAACATTAAGAAAAAGACACAAAAACATGCATTCACAACCACATCAGAGACAACTGATTTCAAAAATAAGTTATTCTGTTTGAATATTCATACACAAAATACCATGGTTATTATAGTCTTACGACTTACTCTGTCTTAAATTGTAGCAGGATGTGAGAAAATTAATGAAGATCCTTTGAAGTAAAATCGTCTAGTAAAAGGTTGTTGTAGTCTGCAGAAATAAAAGCTTTTTTTTGTCTTTGAATTCCAAAATAACAGTTCCGTCAGTCTTGCATTGATATGGAATTATAAATTCCGTTTATAGATTCTGCAGCCTTTATAAATAAATACATTTAAATGTGACAGAAACAAAAGCAATGGAAGATTCGCTGTATGAAGTTAATCAGTTTGAGTGAATTCATTTATTGCCTTTGTCTCTCAGGCACTGTTGAGATACTTTGGAGTAAGACATATTTCTTAATATAATACAAAGCTGGAGCTGTCCATTGCAATAAGTAGTCAGCCTTAAAGTGCTTATCCCAACACAAAATAAATTGTGCCAGGAAAAATGAAATAATCATTATAAACTCTCTTTCATACCATGGTTGATCACCCAGTCTTCTTTTTGTGATTGATTACCTCTCTTCCACAGACTGTTTTCGAGTGTCATGCATTAGGATTAAAGACCTTCACTGAACAGATTGCCCTTAGACAGGGGACTCATGCCCTGTTTAGGCTTGTAATGTTCATTTATTGCAGATGTTAAAAACAGGTAGATGAGACGGGGGTGCTGACAGCATATTTTCTTGCAATGGTTTTTGCAATGTGAGAAATTGTTATCTCATACAAAAGTCATCATCATTCTCTGCCCATTGTCATGAATCGTTCTTTAATTTTGTAGGTCTAGCCTAGAGCCTCATTTTGCAGTACAGTTTGTTCAAAATAGCAAATCCAATAGAGTTAAATGACTTCTCCTTCACTTCCAAAATGATATGCAGATCTTGGAAAGAAGTGTAATGAAATGAGCATACACTGTAAAATATTTGTGTATCGAACCAAGTTGCAATTTTTGTATCTTTTTGAAAGTGTGCTTTCCTCTGTGTGCTGAAGACGAGTTCCAAACGACTGCATTCAGAGGAGGTTTTGCTGCTCTTCTGGATGCAGTACTTGTAGTTTTTGTGGTTCCTTCTTTGATTGATCAGTGCCTCGGGATTCCTTGTCCTTGAAGTGGAAAGGCGCTATATGAAATAAAGGTGTCTGTTGCTGGTGGTGGTTACAGGTTGTCCCCTGCTGCCTACTATGCCCAGAGGATGATCCAGTATCTGTCCCGCCGGGACAGTATCCGCCAGCGCTCCCTGCGCTACCAGCAGAACCGGCTGCGGCCCTCCTCCGACGGCCCGGCCAGCAACCCCTCCCAGTCCATGGAGAACAACGAGGTGGAATTCGAGGAGTTTGAGTGAGTTCAGATTACGTCCTCCTATTCAGAACCTTAGAAAGCCTGCTAAAGGAGTCCACTTGCCCCATCAAGCTGGTGTGGATTCCGGTACCTAATTGCTACCAGGATCTTATCCGGCCAGGGAATCGGCTTTGAAATCATGGCTGGGTAGCTTGTTCCAGATGCCCTGCACTCTTTTGTTCACTAGTGTGCACCGGCCACCCTGTGAACAAGTCACTCTCTGAGCTGGCTTGCGAGCAAAAGAAGCAGTGCAAGACATTAAGATGCACAGAAGAGAAAGGGTGCTGAATTTAAATACTTTAGACTCAAAATCATGCCCCAGAGGCTGTTATCTTGAATTTGCTAAGCAGTTGGTAATAAGGAAACACTCTTAAATTATACAAATGTGCCGTCAATCTTGGCTGGAATTGAAAAATGTGTTTCTGCGTCTTTAAAATGGGAAGGAGAGCCCTTACTAGATTTTGTGAATCTTTATCTTTTTCATGAAATGCATAGGTGAGGGAAGATGATTGAAGTGGATGTACTTACCTTGTATTGTCTGGAGGGGGTGCCAGATTGTGTGCAACCATATTGAAAGGAGTGATTTATTATTCAATTTATATGTTGAGATTTATTATGATGACCTGTATTTTTATATTGTACAGTATGTACGGCTAAATGGCTTATTTATAAATAATATAAAAGTGAAATCCGTATTTGTATGTGTGTGTATAGGTATAGTTTTTATGATAACTGGACAGACATGACTATGATGGACTTGATGGATTAACCATTTTTCTTTTCTGAATTGTGTTAAACTAGTGGAATTAAGCAGGGTAGTTAGTTGCAAAAGGCTTCCTAAGCTATGTTGCGAAAGAGGCAGTGTGTTGCAACGGTTTGGTAAGTAGTTTGTTGAGTGTGTGAGATTGCTGCTGCCAGGGGTTTTGTATTCTGTGCTTTCTGCCTGCTAATTGCAGTTTTGGAGGAAATGAATCCTGTGACAGCTGCAATTTATATGTTGGACTGGATTAAAGAGCAGTGGGTTCATTCGAGGCTTCAGTCATCCCAGGACAAGGGAATTCAAAGCATCAAGATTTAAATATCTGTTTCTGTTCTGGAAAGATTTGTATGTTCTTCATGTTATTTACACATTTACATTTACATTCATTCGTAATATTCTGAATTAGTGTGCGCTAATCTGGTAGTGTTGTTGTTGCATTTAGGAAACACTTGAATATGGCGGCGTTTTGAATTTCAGATGAAAAAACGTGGCAAGTTCTGGCCCTGATTAGAGTAAGATCCTGGTTAGAACCAGGAAAGTGTAGTGGTTTTTTAAAGTAAAGTCGATATGTTCAACTTCCTGTTTTTATGATCTGGCAGTTAATTATTGCTGTATGTCATTGTAACAAAATTAAATATTTATCTTTGGTTTTATCTACCAAATTTTTAGGTATTATCCCATAATCAGCTGTGAGATGACTGGGTTTAACGGACAAATAGGGAGAAAGAAAGTGCTGTCCATAACTGCTAGATGTCTGTTAAATCACTTATTATTTGTTAAATGTGAAATATGTAGTGTATATATATATATGCTTTCTGGATCTTTTGACTTATTTAACAGTTGTAGTCAACACAATGAAAGTTGTTCCCATTCCATTTTATACAAATAATAATATTTCTTTATTAGCCCTATACAATTTCTTGCATTAGGAATTCGTCTTTTCGCATACCCCAGCTTTTCTCCATGGAGACACAGACACACAGACAGGGAGAGAAGCTTGGGGTCAGAGCGCAGGGTCTGCCATTGTACGGTACCCCTGGAGCAGTTAGGGTTAAGGGCCTTGCTCAGGGGCCCAACAGAGTTGGATTCCTCTGCCGGCCGCGGGATTTGAACCGGCAACCTTCCAGTCATAGGCGCAGATCCTTAGCCACAGAGCCACCGCTCCGATAAATATGCAAACAATATATTAAATATATAAGCTCTTTATTTTTGTGTTTTAATGTTTTGTAAATTCAGTAAAGCATGCAAAACACAAACAACACCCACTATGTATCTTTATCTTTTTTAATCTATCGTTTTATTATTTGTGCATTTCCCTGTTGTCACAGGGATAGTTCGCTGTTTCTGATTTTACAGATGAAATTCCCCTTTAGCAGATTTTGTAGGTTAAATCTGAAGACCATTACAGCAAAAGCCTTACATTGAGGGTTTACTGCACTGTTAAGGAGAGAAGGTAATTTTTCAGTCTCTGAACATTGCAGTGTCTTTCATGCTTCAATCAGAAGATGTCAGTAGGTTAAGTCTAGGTGTAAACAGGGTTTAACATTTACATCTAGTTTTCATCGGTGATTAAGGAGTGAAAGACTTTTCTCATGGATTCTTCAATCCTTCGGGAGCAAAGAATTTGTTTTGCCTACCGCTTGTACCAGCACCAGGCCATACCAGCTATTAGGAGTTTTTACGTTTTCTGTAGTTTTAGTGAGCAGCAGATGGTAAGATATACTAGATATATGCTAGTATATCTTTAGATTTCATTTTGCAAAATCGCATGTCTGAAGGTTTAAAGAAAGCAAAATAGAAAAGACTTGCCAAAATTCTGCAAGGTAAGTAAGGTCTTAAAAATTTGGCATACATATTCACGACTTTAAACAAGTTAAGTTTAACATTTCATTTGTTTGAATTGGAAGCCGTCAAATGATTTAGGAGATAGATTTAATGAATTAAGAACTTTCAAATAGAAATAAGAAACTCAATAGGAAACTCAGTTAATCAATAGGAAACTTTCTAAATGAATACAAGGCTTAGTGGCTGAATATATAAAGCATTCCTTTTTGAATTTTTTTTCCGTCAATTTAAGATTGCCGTTTAACATAATACAACCTCTAAAAATTAAAGCCGTAGTTTGGTATTTCTATTCCTTAAAGTCATGCCAGATAATGAAGACTTCTAGGTTTTTCTTGCTGCACAAAGTCTTTAAACGATAATTTTTGCTTTTTTAACATTCCACACGCAAGCTTTACTTGTTTTATTTAGGGCTTTATTTAGATTTAGGGCTTTTAATTTGGAAAAAAAAGCAAGCCAAAGCAGTCTTAAAGCAGCTTCACGAGACCAGAAAAAAACACCAAAAACCTTGAGCCACCTCATCACATGTTGCCATACTGCCACAGATGCATGGAGCCTGAAAAAACTCATTTCAATATCTATGCATGGTACAGCTCTCATCATGTGTGAAGTTATTTTATGATTTCAAAAGCAATATTGAGCCAGACAGCTCAGTTGCCCTTTTCTATTGCGATTCCCTTTTTTTGTTTTATCACTGTAAGACCCAGCTTGCTCTGTATTCTCTCTCTGTTTTTATTTTAACATTCCAGGGTAAGATGCAAAACGGTAAAGCCTTGTGATGCAGTCATGACTGACCCAGATTATCTGATAACTGCTTCAGTTCCTAATCCCTGTATCAACTGGGTTTTGCTATATTAGAGACTTTGTAATTGGGTTAAAGCAATGTGGGGAATAATCCCTGTAAGTGAAATTTAGTCCAAAAAGGCTCTGGGAGTGCTGGGATTTTCCATTTATCATGCTGCTGAATAACCTTTTTTTCTTCTGTTTGGTAGGGAACATGTCCTAGGTATGCATAACTTTTTTTTTGTTCTGTTTAGGATCAATTTTACCTTTTAGTAAAGAAATACAATAACTGCAAGGTTTCTACAATCAGATATATGTTGTTGCTAGTAGTATTGCTATAACACTCCTCAATTAAGACATCCTGACACAGCCACCAAAAACAGACAAACACATTTGCTGCTGCGTGCAGACAAGCCCATGCATCATACAGGCCAGATAAAAGTTCAGTGAAACCTCATTAAGATAGTGCAGCTTACCAGTAGCCATTTAGAGGTATCTACCCTGCACCATGGTTCTTCATATCAAGAATGAGAAATTACAATGCTGTTAACTTCGGTTCCCAGCTTATCTGTATGAGAGGTTTTGTTTACTCTCAACTTGGTGGCGTGTTCAGTGATAAAGCAGCTTTTTTTCTCGTTTGGTCAGTTTATTTTTCTCAGTTGCCGCAGAAAGAGATTAATGCTGTCATTTCAGAGATCAAGACTGGCTAAAATGAGATTGAATGTATGCAAAATCTAAGCATCTGCTTTTTTTCCCCTTAAATTTAAAAAGTGAATTGTAAAGCTGAGCTGTAACACTGGAAGGAATCTATCATCTGATTGACAGCTGTACATGTGCAGGCTTGCAGAGAACTGCTCTGCATCTCCTCTTGTCTCAGTATTACACTTCATTTCAAAGCTGTACATTAAGTTGCAAACTCTATTATTGGATATTTCAGAACGTGCGAATTAGAACAGTGTAAAATGAGTGCAAAGCACACAGTGCACTTTAAAGAACTTGAAGGAGATAATCATTTGACAAAATAAACATCATCCTGACCTCATTATCAGTGCTTTATGCAATCTGTTCTTGAAAAACTGGCAATCACCATGTTCATCCTTGAATCTCATTCATCATCCTGGCGGTTTAAAAAAGCTGTTGGCTCTATAAGAGCTGTGATTTTTTTAAACCAATTATGTTTGAACAAATCCATACACATTGGGCTGCTAGTATTTACAAGTGTATTAAAGTATACGTAGGGCTGAGGGATATATTTGAAACCAAAACAAGAAACCATGTGGTCTCAGTTACAGTACATTAAAACTCTGGTTGCCTTTATATTAAATGGGTTAATAATGGGTAAATAAGGCTTAGTTACTTATTTTGGACTCTACCATAACATTTTAATTTCAAACACTGCAGTGGCCTTTCACTGAAGCCTTATTAATGTACTTTATACCAGAAATGTGTATATTTTGCAGAGTACATTCTGTGCTAAAACATTAGGTGTACTGAAATAGTTACGATTAACCTTCATATATCAAACATTTTAGGAATCTGATAATACTGAGGAACACTAAGGAAATAATTAGCATTTTTATTGTATGTTTTATTCAGATTCATTAAAAGCCAAAATGCTTTACATATAGACATAAATAGCTGTTATGTATGGAATAGCAGAGCAGATTAGGTGATTTGTTGAGAAGTGAAAAGTGCTTCACTACTTTAACTAAGTATAAATTAAAGGTAAGCCAGATTGTATAATTACAAAATGGAATTTAGCCAGGAGACAACAACCCTACGCTTACACATTGCCTTGTCCAAGTACTCAGGACCGTGCTGCTGTCGATATTGGGAGACTAAAAACTACTTCAATTCACAGTTAATCTTTTTTATATTTTTATAAACTAAGAACTTGTACTGAAATATACTTAGCTTTATATATGCTTTATCAGTTTATTAAGATGAACATCAATAAGGAAATATGCTTTCTGGCATATCCTGGTTTATTGGTATTACTAAACGTTTAACCAGGAATAAATTCTGAACAAGCCATGATTTTAGCTAAGAAGGTCATAATAATTTGCTTTAATATGTTATCTTGCTTTTCCCAGCAATGATTTGAATATAGTAAACATTAGCTTGCTTCAGGTCAAGTCATAAATTGTTCTGCAATTAAAATGAGCCATTCTCTCTCCCAATTGCACCACAGTATAATATTGATTTCAGCTGGACCAAAGAGTTTCTATTTACTACTTGTTTTCCTGGAGTCCTGTGGGTATCTTTTGCTTGTAGAACTGTGGTAGTAAAAGGGTTTGCTCAAAACATTATAAAACATTATTTGTGAATTGGTTTCAGATGGAACATGTCCAGGTTTTTATCAAGCGCTGGTGCACAACTGCGATTGATTTTATATTTATCTCTCCAAGGCAGGTTTATCACCCCAGTTGCATAAACATTTACCTTGTAGGCTACTTGAGCTGTTAAATTGTTTTGAGTAGGACCACTTCCTTGTTGGAATATTTTTAACTTGTTTGCAGCTAATTTAAAACTACAGACTTGGTTCTCTCTTTTTCTCTGGTTCGCTGGTCTCAAGAACATGAAAGAATTGGGTGGATTTTTACCTACGCTTCATCCCTGCATTGGATGACTGACTCTGCTGGTTGAATTCACAGTGCCCAGCTTGCTATGTTTTGCAAAGCCTCTCTGTTACTTCTGATGCAACATTCAAATGTCTCTTGATCTGTCATTCTTTTCTAAGCCTTAGTTTTTGGTTGGTGCTTCCTTTTTTTAGGCTAATAAAGTGCTTTTGTAAGTCTACTTTTTTTTTTTCAGAAGCTGGCTACATTCTGCACTGGTTAAATGTCTGTGGTGTGTAATACTTTGTTGAAAGTTCTGTAATTTTTGGTTCCTAGAAACCTCTGCAGAGAAAAACGTTTTTTTTTCCCCATTACTCTATTTTATGGCTGCCTGTCTTGCACCTTGTGCAGTTCATACTGAAATGTTTTTGCTGGCTAGGTTCTGATTTCCTTATGAAGTCATTTCACTTTTGTGTGCACTTCCTCTATAATTTCATTGGTTTTCCTCTGTAGAGGAAAAGAATTGTAAAAAATATATAAATTGTGTTTTCCTCTGAATATTAAATTTTGCTTTAAAAACTTTAAACTTTTTCCAGTGCACAATAAGGCTTAATCTTTTTTTCGAATGCACTATGTAGCTTTGTTTTGTTCTTTGTTCTCCAATGAAATTAAGTACTTAAAAGTGTTTTAAAAGCAATAAATAATAAGCAGTGAACTGTTGAAAGGATGCTGTGTGGGTGGAGGAAGCTGTTAATGTTTTGTGATTGTCAGGTTTTTGAAAATGTCATGCTGTTTGACTGTGCAAAATTGTGGTAAGAGTTTTAAAGAGCATTAATGTTTGAAGACGAAGGGATTTTCACCATTGCCTTATTAGTGCTACAGTCTTAGAAAATGTTATTATATTAGAAAATGTTTCATCAGATCAGTTTTAGTTCAGTGCCCACAACATCTTTAATTCAGTGACAGCATAATCCTGCTTAGTGGATTCAGGCAATCCTAACATACTGTTATTTTTTTAATTGTTCATACACATTGACACTGTGCGGAAGTTTATCTTCTGGTAAACTAGAACTACCCACTAAACTGCTCACTAGTGTTCAGCATTGGTGTGACCCACAAGAATCTAAGCCTTTGTGGTCACACTTTTTCTGAAAGCCATTCCCTACATTTTGTAATCCAATTTCTCTTCTGTAGGGATAATGGCGACAGAGCCAGGCACCGAACACCACGCAATGCTCGAATGTCTGCTCCATCTCTGGGGCGCTTTGTTCCTAGGTGAGTAAGACCACAAAACACTTAACTGGTGTTTCTATCCAGCTCCTCTTCCAATTTTGCAATAAAACCGAAGTACTTCACAAAACATAAGATAGTTACACTTCGAACTCACTACTTGATAATCTCACACGTTTCCTACCCCCTTTTTTACAGGCGTTTCCTGTTACCAGAGTATCTACCGTATGCTGGGATTTTTCATGAGAGAGGCCAGCCAGGCTTGGCCACTCACTCTTCCGTTAATAGAGTCCTAGCAGGTAAGGAACATCTCGGTCTCGTAACTGATTTCTTACCCATACAAGGGTGATGACTTGATGCAGAGGCCAGGCAGTGGCAGATTCACACAACAGCTTGATTTTAGCTGTCATGAATCAGGAACAGTTACCAGGCTCAAAATACGGAGGAGTGCGGTTTTTGAACATGCGGAGCTGACTGCTTATATGATGTAGAGATATGTGATGAGAAGCTGTATGTTGTACTGCTATCATTAGGGAGTTTCACGTAAACACTGTTCCCTTTTGGTAGTGTACTGTCAGCTTTTGCCTGGGTTTTACAACACTATAGTTTAGGCAGGCATTGTGTAAACTGAGGATGGTTCTGAGTGTGTTTCTCAGCAGTGTATGATGATCTGCACTAGAAGTTAGAACCTCATCCCCAATAAATCAGAACACTCATATCTCGTATCCAAATGGAAATTGGAGTCATAAGGACCAAATTGTTTGTTTGCCACCCACAAGGCTGGCCTAGATTAGAGAATTAAAACAGACACAGTGTATTAAAAGCCCTGCTTTTCACAGATGAAGTCACTGAACTGAACACTACATAAAGTGAACCTTAAATTCTTTTGGCAGTGCCGAATGTGGTACTAAAAGTTTACATTATTTTTTTAATGTAATACATATTTGCATATGCATTAAGTTTTATCAGTTTGAGTAGTTTAGTAGATTTTGCTGGGTTATTATAATGTAATCTTGCATTCAATGGGCAATTTTAAACCCAAATTAAGAATATTACCCAGCTTTACAGTAAATTATTACTACAAGAGTATTTTTCCTGCTTTTGTGAGGTACAGTCTGTTTCAGACCTCCCAGTTTTGTGACCTTGATAACAATTCTTGATATTTTTTGCATCTTTTCTGTTCATGTGCTCTGTCTGCTCCGGGTGCCTCTTCAAAGACTTAGCGCCTGCCCTTACTTAAAACTGTGTTTTTTAAACACATTCCTTCCTGAATTGATCTGTGGTCAGAAGAAACGGATATCAGTGATGCTCAGGGGTATCAATTTGCTGCCAAAGCATGTTGATCTGCCAAATCTAAAGCCCTTTGCTGATGGATAGTGTCTGACAACACTTCGCAATGAAACCAAAGAGTAAATAAATGACAAAGCATTCTGTGAATTTTCGTGAATCATAACTCAGATCCTTAAACTGCTAGAAAGCAGCTTTTCATAAAACAGCAGTTTGTAAAAGGGAATTTAATAAAATGCTGCTGCCTTGTGTAGGTGCTGATTTATGGAGTGTTCTTTTCAGACGTACAGTACAATACAAAAAGAATGCAATGAGAGAGTTTTTGATTGTGACAAGGGCTTTGAATGTGACTCCTGTCCTTTTTTTTCCTTTTTGTTCTTTGTTGGTAGCTTAAGTTTTGAAATGCGTTCATAAAAAATTAGTTGATTCATTAATCAGTTTTTCATTATTCATTATTCAGTTTTTTATTAGCATTCAGGAAGTGCTTTACAAGCAGAAGGAGAATTTAATTCTCCTATGGTTTTTACGTGCAAAAGTATATACAAAAACTGAACAGAGAGAAGGACTGTTCTTATTATAATCTCACAAGCCATAGTGAGAAATCTGAAGGCTTCTGAGAGAAGGTGCCGTGAGATTGATTGCTGATCTGACTGCCTGAGAAAACACTGGAAAGCAATATATTGAGAAAGCTCTCAAGTGTCAAGTTAATAAGGAGACATACAGCATCATGGCTAGGGCTTTTCACAGAATCCTTTTTACAAGGGGTCATTTGCATTTTGTGTCCTTGAAATTAATGTTCCATCTCTAAGTGCCCTTGTTTTTAAGGAAAAAAAACTTAATGTTTTACACTGCTTGGTGTAAGAGAATCATTTTAAGCTGCTGTTGTTTTAATTAATGTTATCCCCCCAACCCCTCAAAAAACAAAGAAATTTACTTGGTTAAATCTAATTTCATTACCTCGCAAAACCTCCTTTTTGATGATCAATTGTGTCCAGCAGAGGGCAGATAGAGACTGTTTTTTATTTTTTCCATTGACGGAAAAAGACAAACAAGCTTAGCCTTAAACTCGTATTATTTCCTCTCCTCTCTGTAAATTTGTAATTATTAAGGTGTCAGAGTTAAAGAGGTGGTTATTAAATTTTATGTCCCCTTGTCTCTGAGGGTAACCTGAGAGTGCTGGGATCAGATTGTGGCAGAGAACGGGATAGTGGCAGGGCCAAGTAGGAAACAGTGTAGACTAATGTTTCCTGAGAAAACATTAAATTATGGCTAGGTATTATTGGCACAGTTCATGTAATTACTTGTCAAGGCAACACCAGTATTGGTTGCATATTAGATAAGGTCATGGCAATGTTCCATGAGTAAAATAAAAATAGGGAGTAGAAGGAAGCAAAAGAAGACTAAAGACTATAAGTAATTTCAGAGATAACAAACAGAAATAAACCATGTTCAGCACCCAAGCAAGGTTTCTGGACCAAATAGGCTTATCTTAAAAATAACTGTCATTAAGTTTGTAGTCATACATTATGAACCAGCTTAACAAAATGGTTCAATATCAAAACCTGTCCCCCCCAGGACCAGTTACTGTGAAAAATGGAAGTACTCGTTAAATCTTAACTGAATAATCCCGATTCAGATTGGTTTAAGCACCCACCTGAAAAGAGTGGTTCCTCTCACTTAAAAAATGATTAGCAGCTAAAGCTTTGTTACCCTTTATGACCTGTTGGAACTTGAAAGTCCGGACAGTGGAAAAGGCCTGTGAACATTGAATCTAGGCCTTATGGCCTGGCGGGAAGACAAAGTCATATAAAAAAACCTCAGACTGTGGAATCAAGGTGGATGCTGGCCAGAGTTTGTCTCCCAATGAGCCAGGTGTAAATTGTGTGCCACTAAAAACATTAACTATTGGCCGTATTCTAGGTGCGCAACTGCAAAGTTTTCCTTTGTGTGGTTAAAAAACACTTTTTGAACTTTTACCATTTTTTTTGCATTGCAATCGTGAGTCATTGTGGTTGAATCATTATTTTATGAAAGGATCATCCTTGAAAAATGTATAAATCTGATACGTTACGTATCTAGTCAGATGACACACTTTGTAGTGTTATTTGACAACCTCATCACAAAAGATTATTCAACATGAACACGTTCTGCCTGGGTATAGAAAGTCCTCATAAATATGGTCGGACAGTTGTATAGGTGCTTGAAAATATAGTTGTGCAGTTCTGAAAACTTTCTTGAGATATTTTTCTTACAAAGAAGACATTCCAACAATATATGGGCACCTACATTTTTAACGAGAAACCAAATTTCAAGTCACGGTGGGTGAGAACATCACAAGTGAAAATCTTGTTCTGTTCTTCACTTCCCCACGTCTGTGAATAGGGGCCTGGAGCTGGGTCAAATCATAATAGTCTCTCTGTCCTGGAATGTGAGTTGCTGCTATGTAACAGCTGTAACCTCTGTGATCATCCTTGCCAGTATGTTCCCCTGGTATTGTCTGGAAAGACTCAGCTGGAAGTCTTGTTTGTGTATTAATGACCTAAAATCAGTTGTTCCTTTCTTCCTGAGAATTACAGAATGGACTGGAATAGAACCCAGTGCAAAGAAGGGTCCCATTGTGATCTACCAGTAGCTGCCTGTTTTTATGGCATATTGGTCATTATTTTCAATTTTAATTTCTTTGCCTTAGCTTTCTCCACTTTTCATTGTGGCATTTGGAAAGTTGATCACTAGTTTACAGAGCCAACTCCAACACTACTAATTACGCAGGAGGGGATGTATATCACGCTTGTTATTGTAAAAATTGAGGATCAAAGGAGCTGACCAGCTTGAATTATCTAATGAATTTCAATCAATCAGTGACATTTTCTTTCAACTGTGACTTCTAATCTTTTAATTAGAAATCCTTTGTTATGCAGTCGCAGAATAAGAACATTTATGGGCTGTTCTTTTCCTTTGTCTTTGCTGTATTTATTTCCTGAAACCAAATGTCTTCTCTTTTCCATTTTCTTGGTGTTCACAAGTGCAGCTTAATCTTCGAGACAGCAATATACAGTATTTCTCACAGCTGATTAAACCTCATACTTGATTAAACGGGCTGTTTTACTTCTTATAACCCATGCCTTTTCTGTTTCCACATTTTATGCTGATGCATGCTCTGTTTAATCACCGATTTAGATATTCATCATAAAAAAGGAAGGGAATACAGTGGGTCCATTTAAAGAGGAAATACCTCAGAAACACAGAATTACATTAGCTGTGTTCACAAAATATAAAAAAGGACTTCTTCACTGAAGGGCTCAGCTCCCAAGGTTTTTTCATACTGCTTGCACACATCTCTTAAGAGCAAGCTTCCCGTTTTTTCTTCACACTTGACTGACTTTTACACTTTTTTTTTTACCGTTACTATGAGGCAGTATTTGGGGAACATCCAAACCCAGATTTGAAAGGTAGGAGAAATGAATAGCAGACACAAGCAGCTAAGGATGTGCAGCACATAGAAAAGTAAATGTAGTTTAAGCTACAGAACTGAGCCCCAAAAGTACTGTTCTGGGGGGCCTCTAAGGGAACCGAGGTTGCCTATGTTAATTTATGGTGGACCAGTAGGTTACACTCTTCCCTTTGGACCAGAATTTCTAAACCACTGTTGTAGGATGGTGACTGGAAGCTATGATGTATGAGGTGCTGTTTTTTGAGTGAGACTTTAAACAAAGGTCCTGACTGCTTGGTCATTAAATATCCCCTTGGCTTGTTAAAGTAGAAACGGTGGTGTACTGGCTTAATTCCACTCGGCACCTGTACAGACTTGCCTCCCTAAACATCTCCCTTAATTCAAATGCTGAAGTAATTTCTCTCTTCTCTGCCTGATCTGCTGTGAGGCAGGGCTGACAGTGGTTCATGCCAAGTGGGAGCAGGAAAAAAAACACTTTCTATATGTAAAATGTTTGTTATCCTCCCAGATAAATAGCAACATATAAATGCAATGAGTCCTGATTAAAGTCTTGAGACATGA